TCAATTTTTACATGCATGCCACCTAAACTTTGAATGAAAAGGTGTATTTAACTTCTAAAACTTAAAAATGTTGATATTTTTAATGTGATTTGAAATATTGGGGTGGTATACATATTTAATGCACTAAGGGTGGTTTTGTTCGCAATAGATTTGATTAAAAATTGAATTTTAAAACAATCACCAAATAAATAAATAAGGGTTTGTTTCAGGATAAACAATTTATTCTGAAATGTGGCCTGCGGGTCGACCCGCGACCTGCGTTTAATGTAAAAAACTCAAACGCAGCAAGCAACATTTTCCAGATACATTTCAAATGGTTCACAATATCAGAGCAAACTTGAGTAAAAAAAGCATCAATTTGTGGCTAGATGCCTGTGTTCGATTTTTTCTCGAAATTTTTTTCTTTGAATAGTGGAAAACTTTGCCCCAATAAATGTGATAGCAAGATCTTAAATCTCATTTCCAGTTTCAATTTTAGTTTGCAGTAAAATTTCTAGTTATGATATGGTCAATTTTTTCATCAATTTCAAAATTCAATCAATTACATGAAGTGTGGTTGAAAATTGTAAGACATTATTAAAATATCAAATAATCTTCAGACTTTACATTCATACAATCAAATCATGTGTCAGATGATTGCTCAATTTGGAGATCATTATGAATCTTAAATGTTGAAACAAGTTCTATGATTGAAAGAATCAACACGAGCCATTCAATATTGTTTTGATGTTTCATCTAAATTTATCAAATTGTGACTCTCACAACTAATCAATAAAGCCCCAATATTCAAATGAAGAGAATACAAACTTGAGTAAGTGCTCTAATGTTTTATGTTGACAATCACGTCAAACCACTGTCGTAGTGTGGCTATCAACATCTAACTATAATTGTTTTGCTATTGTATATTCATCATTGTTCAACCTTCATCATTCGACTATGTTTAGCCGAATAATTTTGCCCAATAATTATTGTTTTATCAACGTCATCAAACCGCGGTCATTTAGCTTTCATATTCCATTTATCATCGCATGATTGATGTCATTAGCCCACCTTCACCCAACTATCCCTCAACTGAGAAATAAATTTTATAATGCAACACCAAATACAACACTTGTCCGTCTATAATGTAAATAAAACTTTAGGAGTCCAATGTAAATAAAACTTTAGGAGTCCAAAGTAAATTGTTGTATTTTGAGTATAGTGGTTTTAAGTAGTCATCGCCGAAAATTATAGTTGGATTTGTAATGTGGTGTTTTATATTATACCATTTTTGGGCTACTTCTTTATACCATATTTAGGACACTTCACCAAACATTATTCAAGGATACATCGTTACACAACAAAATTATGGAGGTCAACTTCAGAGTCTAAAAACCTTCATTTGAGTAGATTTAAAACTAATAATATGGAATATGATTTTAGTAGTAGTTGATCAAATCATTATAAAGAGTGAACGTTATAGATATTTCTGATCTATCATTCAAAGTGATGGTGATATAGATGCAGATGTTATTAGTAGAACTCAAGTTGGATAGTTGAAGTGGAGAAATGCATCGGGCCTATTGCGTGATAGAAAAGTACCATTTAAACTTGAAGAAAAAATTTATAAGATAGTAATGAAATGTTTATGACATAGTCGCATAGAATGTTGGCCTATAAGAGAGAAGCATAAAATTAAGTTAAGTTTTGTTGAGATGAGAAGACTTCAGTGGATGAGTGGCTTTAATCTAGAGACAAAAAGCAAAACAAATATATCAGTGAAAGGGTTCATGTAGCTCTAGTGGCAGACAAGATTACAGAGAATGGTCCCATTAAAGATTGAATATATGATAATCGTGTTAAGAGAGTAGATATTTTAGATTTGAATTATATTAAGAAAGGTAGTGATAAACCTAAAAGGACATGGGCATGTTTTATAAAAATAATCTTAATTTATCAGAGTTAAATAAAAATATGACACTCAATAGAACTCAATGGAGAAAAGGATTTATGTAGACGATCCCACTTAGTGGGATAAAAGCTTGTTGTTGTTGTGTATTAATAGCTTCATCAGCATCAATTTGTGCATCAACATCATTGATGAGATCAACAAATGATGAAATATCTCCCGCTTCAAAGATGAGTAAAAAGGACTAGGACGTAGTCCTCCCAAGAACACACCTCTTAATACTCTTAAGATTTGATGAGCTTCAATAGAGAATCTCATAAAATAATTCTTCAAGGACTCTCTCTTACTAGCAAATCCTGAAAAGATGAGAAGAGTCTTTGATGATCTTTCGATTCATAATGAATTGATCTGCAAATACCTTAGCGAGCTCAATGAAGATCTGAATGCTCCTTCCTGGGAGACCAAGTGCGTGCTTAAGACTTACAGGAAAACCCAAACACATGAGCACATAAGAAGTTCGTTGTAAGTGCATGATGGTCCTCAAGTTATCAACGTGTTCGTATGGATCAACCATCCCATCATAAGCGTCAATGCTTGGAATTTTAAACCCTACTGAAATAGGGTATTGAAGGATGATCTCAACTAACGAAGATGAGCTTTGAGAACCACGTTGAGCCGAGAAACAACTTTTAGCACTCATAAGGAGTTCTTCTCATTCTATACATCATAAATTGTCATGGATTGCATAAGGTTGAGCTAAGTTCTACATGTGTTGAAGCCTTGCCATTATCCTTAATGACAGGAGTTGGATGTGTGGAGTTTGCAATGTCTATGAGTTCAGCTTCTTGGAGGGGAACTTCAGTGTATTTAGGGGGTGCTAACTGTGCACCTTTGGTCGATGGGTTTTAAGGTAACTATGCCCCTCCCATATGCAAATTGTCGGTTATCGAGCCTCATGTAAAAGTTTGAATATTTTTTTTTTTGAGATTCCTGCATCCTTCATACGTGATCTTCAAATTGTGCTAAGGAGGTTTCTTCACCAGCAAGATGATATGTATCATTGGGAAATAGAGTAAAATGTTAGCGTTCCGGATTTTGAGATTATACCGTGGAATGAAGAGTGTTAGAGCGAGAAGCTCGTGTGTTACACTTATTAGTGTCGGTCGTTAATGAATTTAATAGGTGATAATCATATATATATATATATATACATATATATATGTGTCAGCGATCGAGAGCTTTGTTTTCCATCATATATGATTCAACCGTGCTCGAAGAATAGGGCTCGCACCTCATCGATTGTGTCTTGTCGTATCTCCATTTTTGTCTTCTCAC